GAAGCGAAAGCATCTCTTGTAAGTTGGCAGCATATATGTGTATGTGTACAGCATAGTCATACATACATACTTGCATATTTGTTTTTATAGATAGTGAAATGTCATCGATATAATATATTGTTTTTTTTTTTTTTTTTTTTTTGGTTGGGTTTGTTGTGTTGTTTTGCACGAAAACATATGAAATATACCTTAAGGTCGAGAATAAATAACTCGCAGTCATAACTCTCCCAGTTCATTCTTGGGTGAACTATTCGTGACAAAAGTTGCAATTCGGAAAAATAACAAAACTTATCTTAACAACCGGAAACCAATTGAATTGAATAACGATACACAAGCACATCTACTCGCACGCTTAAGTAAGTTAAGGCTTTGCTTTTAATTATGTAACGTGAAAATTTTCTTACATTTTCATTAAACAACGAAAAGCAAAAGGAAATAAATATTTATATTTCAATATTTTTGGGTTAATTAAAACAAAAAATTCATTGAAAATTAAAAAAGAAGTGCTTTTTAAAAATTATAAAATCTTTTGTATATTTTCACGAGATTACGTAAGAATTGAAAATTTCTTTCTCTTGCATAAAATACGAAAATTAAAATTTTTAATGAATTCCTTTTTATATTAACATCTTAAAAATTCAAGTGAAGTTTGAAAATGCAAAGAAAAAAAAAAACAAGAAAAAAAATTTTCGATTACGTAAGAACGAGAAGACATTTTGTATAGCCACTGCAGGCCGGAATCAATCATTTTTCAAGACGAACGTAAAGGATATCGCCACAAATATTTTTCTGTACTGACTCATTCACTCAGTGTTTTCAAAGGATCTTCTTTTCTTCAATCATGCTTCTGCGCGTACTCTGCGATTTTTTTTTTTTTTTTGTTCATAAATGTGAAAAAATATCTGGCGACATTTAAGTAGTATTGCGATCACCATATTATAAAAAAATAATTGCATGAGATATTTACTTAAAGTGACATTAGCCATGTGGAGGGAGAGAACAATTTATCTCGTGAGATTATTCATGAGAGACTGGATATAATCAAAATAATTTAAAGATATCCACAAATGGGCAGTAAATCATAGACTGAAAAGCCATTGTTTATCAGGAGTACTCTCTGGGAAATATGGCGGGAACGACAAAAATTTTCTGCTAATGGTTTCCCATTTTTTGTAATATCCCACGGCGTATATTCTGTATACACTGCACAAGCAAAAACATAAACAGGATGATAAAAATTATTATCGTCAATTTTTCAGTGAGCTACTGCGCGGTACCTGTGTTCTACATATTGCTAAGTCTACTTAGCGTTGTTGTATTTCGTTTAATCGTCGAGTAGTTTTTTAGGTTCACAATGAAAACATTAATTAGCTGAAGGAAAAGTTCGTTTCGTGCAGAAATCATCGGAAGGTTATTAAAAACAGAAGCATAAGAATTATCTAATGCCCGTAAAGAAGTCTTACATACGGTAGTTGATTTGCTCCTGGTCTACACATGCAACGAGTACGAAAGGCGAACAAAAAGGAATTCGATAGCCCAAAGCTATTGCAGAGTGAAAAAGTTTTAAAGGGAGACGGCTCCAAAAGTCATAATTTATTAATTACTGCAACGCAACGCAAAGTCGCACGGTTGAGAGAAGTCAGATTATGCCGTCATTGTACGGAAAGTATGAGAATATGATTAAATAATCATCAAGTGATTCAAGTGATTTATATGAGTTTTTCATTTTTTCCGAAGTTAATGCCATCTTGAAAGTCGTTTCGAAACAAATGAAAGAAAAAAAAGCACGATTAGTCTGCGAGAAAATGTAAAGAGAATTAAGTCAAGTGCCGGCGCAATTATATCGCAAGCGATAATAACAATTTACCTATGATATTATATAGTTTTTTTCAACGTTTTGGACACTTTCGAGACATTTTGAATACTTTTCGAATCTACGATCAACATTGACCATTATTTGTGGTTCTTTTATTTTCGTTCAGCTCATAAGTAGAATAAGCTTTGCTTACAATAAATTTTGCTGAAATTATCTGGATACGGACACATGCAGGCTGCTGATCCGTTTGCTGTGTGACTGACCCATCTTCCCGCATGAAAGCTTCCTTGAGAATCTCGACAATCTTTCTCGGAGGGATTTCAGAAAAAATTGCAGTTTTCTTAAGAAGCCCACAGGATTACAATATGAATTCCTTGGCTAAATTGGGATCTATTTATGACCTAAGTGATTCTTGCTGTTAGGCAGAGACTAACCTTACATTTGATCCAAAGTACTGTGTGTTTTATATATATATACATATACTACCCATGCATGGTGGCTAAATAGAATTCTGAAGAGACTTTTTCTCCTAATGAAAGGACGAAAAATAATAATAGAAGTAACTTCTTCCTAACAAGTTTTGAGAGATTGGGCTTTAAAGAAACTTGCATTTTATTTAATTTTCCTCTCTTTTTTTTAGCATGGATCCATCTACGAGTGCTGAGGCAGCCGCTGCTGCCGCAGCTAATGGTCCTGATCCGCGTCTGGAGTTAATGGGTTCTTTTGTTAGTAAAACGCTTAAATTAAAGCCGGAAAAATGGACAAGAGTTATTACCGTTGAAGAGTATAAAGGCATCATTAAGGAATTTCTTGATCGTCCTAATCCGGTCTTTCTTATCATAATATTAACCCAAGCCACACAATTAGTGCCGACAACGGCTTTTCCGCTCACTCAGCTCAAAAGTAAAGGTGTTTACTTCATTAAGCGCAACACATTACCGGTGCCGCGCGAAGACTGTGCAAATTTTATAATATGTGGAGATCTGGCTACACGAACTATCGATCAATTATCCGCATTGGTTGAAGAGGTCTTCGTACCTTTGCTGGCCTTTGAAGATAACTATAAGACGTGGCCTTCAATGGTAACTCAAGATGTGCAAAAGCATGTGCACAGTTTAAAGAGTACAGTTCATCAAGTAAAAGGGCAAGTAAGTGGTGAAACAATTTTGGCGATGCCAGTGGGTGTTGAAAAGATTATGAAGGTGTCGCAGCAAATCGGTGAAAATCCGCATTTGCAAATCGATTTATATTTGAAAAGCGCCATCGAGGGTGTCGTCATCAAATGGGCCGCACAAGTCGAAGAGGTTATCAAAGAGAGTTCAGCACAAGCTTTTGCAAACGGTCAAAACCCAACACCATATGCGGGTACGAAATGAAATTAAGATCGCAAAAAAAAAACTAATAACTAATTTTTTTAGAATTTTCGTTTTGGAATAAACGTTTTAAAAATCTTTCATTCATATTCGAACAATTACGCAATGAACGTATACGAGCTATGGCTTTAGTTTTGGAACATTCACGTAGCGCTTATTATCCATGCTTTCAAACTCTATTTAAGAAAGTTGTAGAAGGTATCTATCTATATCTACAAAAAATCATTGCTTTTTAGTTCCTGCTTAAGGCGAACCTTTGGTTGTTTTTTTCCCCAATATTACAGCTCTCGCTGAAACCAAAGACATTACCTTGTATTTAAATCCTTTAAAAAAGCACATACAACAATTGGAAGAAATTGATTTTTCTGAATGTAAGCCACTGTTTATACCATTAATGCATGTTGTCTGCACACTGTGGGGTAACTCGCGTTACTACAATCATTCGCTCAAGATGACGATTTTACTTAAACAAATTTGCAATTTAATTATAAATCAGGTAAGGGTGGATGGGTTGACTTTAAAATAATTCGAAATTTCTTAAGAAATTTTCATCTTTTTTTTTTTGTTTTGGTTTTCAGGCGAAACGTTTTCTAGACCCTTCGTCTATATTTCACAGTGATATCGATGAGGCGATGCAACGTTTAACTCTTTCCATTGAAATATTGAAATTTTTTCGCGAATTATTCGATCATTTTAAAGAAAATATTGGCGAATATTTTAAGGATCCCGTTCAACGCCCACCAGTATTTTGGACATTTCATCCAAATTCCGTATTTAGACGTTTTAGCAATTTTGTAGATCGGCTAAATACTATACAATGGTGAATATACTCACAATATTGTATACATTTTAAAACTGCTTCTCTCCTTTAGGTTTTTTCATACAGTTACGGAGTTTTTGAAATTGGAAAAAGTTGAAATTGGTGGCTTACGTGGACGACAACTCAGTACGCGTATTACAGCCGTTTATGTTGAATTTAATCAATACTTTACAGCTTTCGCTTCAAAAAGTTACGATGTCTTAGATCCAGATGATGATGAGTTTATAAAAGATTTTCAAAATTTCCAATTACGTATACTCGAGTTGGATATGAAATTGGCGGCCATATTATGTCAAGCTTTCGATGATTGTTACAATTTAGAAAGTGTGTTTAAGGTATACACTCGCGTTGGCCTCAGATTTTCATGATTTTTAATCAATTTTTGTTTTTTTTTTTCATCGATCACAAGCTTATCAATATAGTAGGCAGCGTTTTGGAGAGACCGAAAATTAAGGAACAGTTTACAAAAAAATATGATGAAATTGTGCGCTTATTAGATGAAGAACTTACGATGTGCGAAGAAATTTATGAACAGCAAATGTTTATGCGATCAGATAACAAGTGTTTATATCCGGAATATAATTGCCCGCCGGCAGCAGCTTTCATACGCTGGTGCAGTCAATTGGAACGTCGTATTACAGTGCCTATACAACATTTTCAGGCTCTGCAGCATGAGTAGTTTTCCAAATACTTTTTTCCCCCTTTTATATATCCATCATCTATAATTTTTGAACAGAAGTTTCCGAATTTGTTATATTCGACACAGCTTGTCGTGCAAGAGAATATTAAAGCGTGTGCGGATGTATGCAATACTCAGAAGGAAGGTTTGTCGTATTGCCTAGCGGTTAGAACAGGCGACCGTCAGCCGCTGGAGCCAGGTTCGTTCCCTGAGGCGTTAGACCGCATATTCACGCACTTCCTTGCGCATATTGACCTACTCCTAGGAATAACGCCCCGAATTGAGGTGTACCCACCTTTTATTAATCAATCCAAAGTCATTTTCTGATCGACCTAAGCTTGTCTACCTACCCGTCTTATGAAATTTCATACACCATGCTTTGACCCAAGGGCGGACGCTATTGAATGTGGAAAGGAATCAGATCCCATTTTCGACTACTTCCAATTGAGGTCTTATTTTAAAAAGTCTTTATATGATAAGTGGGATAAGTGTTTTTATCGAATCTCACATTAATTCATTCGTTTCGTGGAGTGAATTTGCCGCTTGTGGTCAGTATTTAGGTGAATGCCCAATGCAATTTTTGCTCATTACTCATATACTCTATAGTAAGTAAATGTTCAAAAATTTGAAAGATACTGTACAGCCTATACAAAAATGGAAAAGTTGATCCAGCCCATCTAATATTATAGTGTATTAAAATTTAATTATTTTTCAATACCTTTGCCACACGCAGAGACAAGCTTCAAAAATCCCGTAAAGTATATAAATTCTTGGCCAATTTGAAATGCAACGAAGCGTGTCTGTTCATCTATCCGCGTGGGTAGTATCTGCGATGACCATTCTCCCGTCAACGAAAATGAAGGTTTGGGCTACAAATTTGCAAAAGAATATGGAAGCGACTTAAACTTTTTAAAGAACACACCCACAACTCCCTCACGCCTACGCGACAAACCTTATATTCTTAAAGTAGAAAATATCAGCCGCGCTCACTCCAATTTATAGAGCATGGAAATGCTGTTCTTTTACCTTTTCTGTCCTTTTTAGCACAACGGTGATGGGTGTAGAAGATTCGGTCACGACCGAATATAATTTTCTTACTTGTTTTTTATTCATTTATTTAATTATTTACTTACCTTTGTTATTGAAATAATTACAAATCTTTTCCTCTCTACTTCGTAGCATTGTACGTTCAGAGAAAGCTCTCGAGATTATACGACGCTATGAACGCTTGCTTTTAAAAATTGGTGCTAGTCGCACTTACGTATTTAAAGATTGGTCCGAAAAGTTAGACGAACAAATCGAAATAAATTTACAAAAGTCGTTGATAGTACGCGATCCGCACACACAACTATTGATTTTGAATTTTAGTTCCGAACTTTTTTGCATATTGCGTGAAGTTCATTACCTTAAGCAAATGGAAGTGGACGATATACCACAAGTGGCCTTGGAATTTGCCGATAAAAGCGATATCTTTCGTACTTACACTTTAAATTTGGAGAAGAGTATCGATTGGTATAACACTATACAAGAGAATAGTTCACCAGTTGAACTGAAATTAATCGAAAGCGAAATACAACAAATTGACGAGTTAGTGGAAATTGGTATACAAGAATTAGTTTGGATATCCGAAGGTAAGAAGAGGCAAAATCATATGAGCGAATATTTGTTTCGGTGGAATAATTAAAATTTTTAGATATCACTTCCTATTTGGATAAGTTACGTCAACCGGTAGCAGCTTTACAGAATCGCGTTAATCTCACTCAAGGCAATTTGAAACGTATCCGAAGAATTATGTCTGCTTGGGTGAAGCAACCGTTATTCGAGCGTCGAGATGGGAAAAAAGATTCAGTATTATGCATTGACGAGCGACCCGATCGTACTGCAAAACGTTATGCTGAAATTCAATCGGCATCCGATGAGATTCATAGATTACTTTATGACAATATGGTGCAATTCAATATGGATTGTAGGCAGGATGATGTCATGTGGTTAAATTATGTCGACTTTGTCGATAATATTGTATACGAATATTTGCTAAAGACGGTGGGGGTTAGTGTCGGTTATATAGCGGAAAATATGGATCCAGATAACAATTATGCTCCATTATTTGAGGCGCGTCTGGAATTAGTGGAACCGAATCTAATATTTATACCCTCCCTGGATCCGGAAGATAGGATGGGCTTTAATAATGTGCTTATCGAACTGATCCGTGACATTATGAAGATGGCTTCGCTTATTAAGCGTCTAAAGACGCAAGAGAAACGTAATTATGGGGATATGGTGAAAGAGAATCCCGATATTATAGCAATGAGAAGAGAGATCTTAAACGGTGTCACTCGAGTAATCGAAGAAGCGGCTCTATTTTGCCGTCAATTTGAGCGGTATTCGTACCTTTGGTTAGATGATCGGCAAGAGTGTATGGATTCTTTTCTGGAATACGGACGAATATTGGATCCCGATGAAATCGAATCGGTTTTAATGAATGATCCGAACGCTCCGTCACCAAGTCCACCGACAATAGAAGCATTTCGCGAACAAATCGACAATTACGAGAGTTTATCCAATGAAATTGAAGGGATTGCATCATTTCAAGTGTTTAGTTCCTGGTTTCAAGTTGACGTTAGACCGTTTCGTCATGCGCTATTAAATACCGTATGTAAATGGGGTAGCATGTTCAAATCTCATCTGGTTAACACGGTGACGAGCAGCCTTATGGATTTAAGCAATTTTATACGCAAAGCAGACGAAGGTCTTTTGCAAATCGTTAAAGAAGGTGACTACGAGGGCCTGGTAAGTCTAATGGCTTATTTGATGCAGGTAAAAGAGAGAGCTGCCAAAACTGATGAAATGTTTGAGCCCTTACAAGAAACCATCCAATTATTGAAATATTACGATATGGATATACCTGAAGAGGTCAATGTTTTATTGCAAGAATTACCCGAGCAATGGGCCAATACGAAAAAGATTGCCTCGACAGTGAAACAACAAGTTTCACCCTTGCAAGCGACCGAAGTGGTCAGCATACGCAACAAGGTGTCAGCCTTCGAGATTTACGTACAAGAATTTCGTGAAGTATTCCGTCATTATAATTTTTTTCGTTTCGATTGTCCTGATCCGTATGATTTGGCCGATCGTATTAACGCTGATATGGCTCGTTTGGAAAATGAAATGGCCGAAATTCAAGAGTCGGGCAGTCTCTTTGAAGTCAATATACCGGAATTTAAATTATTAAAGCAATGCCGGAAGGAATTGAGAATGTTGAAGGTAATCAATCAATCTGAACGGATTTGCTATACATTAAAGACAATTTTCAAAATTTCAAGTCTCACGTCTTTTCTAACTACATTCTATTTTACATTTTTTTAATGGTTTTATTTCCGATTTTATTGCGCTAGCAACTATGGGATTATGTGTTCATTGTGCAGTCGTGCATTGAAGATTGGAAAACGACACCTTGGCGTAAAGTTGATGTCGAAAATATGGATATCGAATGTAAAAAATTCGCTAAGGATATACGATTGCTGGACAAAGAAATGCGTTCTTGGGATACATTCGTAAAACTGGAGGGTACTGTCAAAAATATGCTAACATCGTTAAGGGCGGTCGGAGAACTGCAAAATCCTGCAATTCGTGAGCGGCATTGGAATCAGTTGATGAACTCGACAAAGGTAATTTCGGTGTTATTAATGAAGCTCGTCATTGTAAATACTTTTTTGTAAATACATTTATTTTTTTTAAAATTAATTATTAAGTTTATTAAAAATGAGTGGTAATGGAGTAGAATTTTTACCACAGATACTACTCAGTTGCGCGGACGGACAGATGGACATTTAAACGGTTCATTTTGATTTTGCAATAGGCCAAGAATTTATACACTTTATGGGGTTTTTGAACCTTACTTTGGAGTCATGTAAAATTTTGAAAAAAAATGATTTTATAAATCCTATAAAATTAAATAGGCGTGGCCAATTTTTTCCACTTTTGTAGAGATTTTATGGGCCGCAGTTTAGGAGTAACGAGCAAAAAACCATTTTTTGTTGCTCTTGAAAAACAGAGGTGTACTCAGTTTACGTAGTACTGAAGGCGTGTCAATCGACTGATTCGGCTCATTTTCAATATCAACCTGTGAGAAAGAACTTTCAATATTTCTGCCAAATTTGAAGTTAGAATGATAACTTCATTTTGCGGTCAAGAGATAAGCAGCTATGAGCAGTTACAATCAGTCGAAGTTAAATTTCTTCATGCGCTTTAAAAACCATTTCTATGATAAGCGGATTCTGTTATAGATTTATCGAAATAGTTGTACGAAAATTTCTCAAGAATATATTAATAGACGAAGCCTTTTTCTTGTTTATAGTGACGACTGAACGATTCAAAGTAAATCTTCATTTAAGCATGATTTAATCTAGATCTCCATTTCCAGTCAGTATTTAGCACCGAAGTTTATACCACTAATAATGTAGTCGGGATGAATTTCACTGATTGTACAGACACTTAAAACATAAGTACTATAAAACTTTTCTTCTCACAAGTACCTGATGAAGCGGAATTAAGTTCAAAAACAATTTAATAAACCATCACTGTAAACATGTAAATATGTTCGTATTGTAAATACATATGTGTGTCTTTGCAGAGCTTAGCAGCCTTGCCCAAGGAAATAACGGTAAGCTGTAATAATAAATATTTGAAAATTCTCTGTTCTTCACTACGAAAACAACATTTGTGACGTCCTGTAGCAAACAATAGTGCCTATGTTTGTGTGTATGTGTGTGTGTGTGTATATGTATATATTTGTATATTATATTTTCTTTATATGTGTAGGTAGAGTTAAAGCACCGAAAATTTTGAATTTGTTTTAAAAAAAAACTTTATTGAATGATCGCTTTACTGTGCTTGTATATGTCCTCCTTATAAATAGGTCAAATTCATTATGGATCATGATACTACGTTGGCTGAATTGCTTGGTCTAAATTTGCATGAATGCGAAGAAGAGGTGAAAAATATAGTTGATAAGGCCGTTAAAGAAATGTCAATGGAGAAGATTTTAAGAGATTTAAATACTACGTGGTCTACGATGGAATTTGATCACGAACTCCATCCCCGCACCGGATGTAATCTTCTGAGAGCGTCGGAAGAACTCATAGAGACTCTCGAAGATAATCAAGTGTGCCTTCAGAATTTGATAACGTCGAAGTACATCGCCCATTTCTTAGAAGAAGTGTCCGCTTGGCAGAGTAAGTTAATGATTGCTGATCAAGTGATAACAGTTTGGTTTGAGGTGCAGCGCACTTGGACACATCTTGAGAGCATCTTCATGAGTTCAGAAGACATACGCAAACAGCTACCAGTCGACTCGGATCGTTTCGATCATATTGACACCGAATTTCGCATACTTATGAGCGAAATGTCTCAATCTTCCAATGTTGTAGAATCAACAAATCGACCCGGGTTGATTGAACGCTTGGAAAATCTTCAGAAGGAGCTTACGCTGTGCGAAAAGGCTTTGGCAGAGTATTTGGAAACAAAACGTTTAGCTTTTCCTCGTTTCTATTTCGTGTCGTCGGCTGATTTGCTTGACATTTTAAGTAATGGCATACAGCCGGACATGGTCACCAAACATTTGACCAAATTATTTGATTCAATTGCCCGATTGAAATTCAATCGAGACGAAGCAAATGAAATAGACACAGCTTCGGGCATGTATGCTAAGGACGGTGAATACGTTGAGTTCGATAAGTTGGCAAGCATTCGTGGTCCAGTAGAAGTTTGGTTAAATCGTATACAGGCGGCCATGCGTTCATCGTTGCGTCATTACGTTACCGAAGCGGTGGTCGCCTATGAGGAAAAGCAACGGGAACAATGGTTATTCGATTATCCTGCCCAGGTATCACTGTGTGGCTCACAAATTTGGTGGTCCACAGAAGTGAACATAGCCTTTAGCCGACTGGAGGAGGGTTACGATAATGCCATCAAGGATTATTATAAAAAACAAATCTCGCAACTTAGCTTATTAATCACCTTGCTCTTGGGTGAACTTTCGAAAGGGGATCGTCAAAAAATTATGACCATTTGCACCATCGACGTACACTCGCGTGATGTTGTTTCAAAAATGATCCAGGCCAAATTGGACGCGGGCTCGGCTTTTATGTGGCAATCGCAACTTCGTCATCGTTTCGATGATATGGAAAAGGATTGCTATGCCAATATTTGCGATGCAGAGTTTCGTTACAATCACGAATACTTGGGAAATACACCACGTTTAGTAATAACACCTCTTACTGATCGTTGTTATATAACATTAACTCAGAGTTTGCATCTGATTATGGGTGGCGGACCAGCCGGTCCTGCTGGCACGGGTAAAACAGAAACTACTAAAGATTTGGGACGAGCTATTGGCATAATGGTTTATGTGTTTAACTGCTCTGAGCAAATGGATTACCAATCATGCGGCAATATATATAAAGGTCTAGCTCAAACAGGGGCCTGGGGTTGTTTCGATGAGTTCAATCGCATTACCGTAGAAGTGCTCTCAGTGGTAGCTGTACAAGTGAAGTCCGTTCAGGATGCTATACGCGATAAGAAGGACAAATTCAATTTTATGGGAGAAATAATTTCCTGTGTACCTACGGTGGGTATATTCATAACAATGAATCCGGGTTATGCGGGTCGCACAGAATTGCCTGAAAACTTAAAAGCCTTATTTAGACCATGCGCCATGGTAGTACCAGATTTTGAGCTAATTTGTGAGATTATGTTGGTGGCAGAAGGATTTCAGGATGCGCGTGTTTTGGCGAGAAAATTCATTACCTTATATACATTATGTAAGGAACTCTTATCTAAACAGGATCATTATGATTGGGGACTTCGTGCTATAAAATCAGTGCTTGTGGTCGCAGGTTCACTCAAGGTAAACATTGCACAATATTTTTCATATCGATATAACGTTATGAAAGCAATTTTATAGCGTGGTGATCCAGGGAGACCTGAGGAAGAAGTTCTAATGCGAGCGTTACGTGATTTTAATATACCAAAAATTGTCACCGATGACATGCCAGTCTTTATGGGTTTGATAAGCGATTTATTTCCGGCTTTGGATGTGCCTCGAAAACGTGATGCTGATTTTGAACGCACCGTGAAACAGGCGGCTTCTGATTTGCTTTTGCAAACTGAGGACACCTTTATATTAAAGGTGGTGCAGCTAGAAGAATTGTTAGAAGTACGTCATTCCGTTTTTATTGTTGGTAATGCTGGCACGGGGAAAACCCAAGTATGGAAAACCCTATTGCGCACCTACCAGAATATCAAACGGAAGCCTATATTTAATGATCTTAATCCAAAAGCTGTAACCAATGATGAACTTTTTGGTATTATCAATCCTGCAACACGGGAATGGAAAGACGGTTTATTTTCCGTGATTATGCGGGATCAGGCAAACATGACTGGCGATCAACCCAAATGGATTGTGCTCGATGGCGACATAGATCCTATGTGGATAGAAAGTTTGAACACTGTAATGGACGACAATAAAGTATTGACTTTGGCCAGTAATGAGCGAATTGCGTTAACGCCATCCATGCGTTTGCTGTTCGAAATTTCCAATTTGAGAACAGCTACGCCGGCCACAGTTTCACGAGCGGGCATATTGTACATAAATCCCCAAGATCTTGGTTGGAATCCGTAAGCTATTGCTCGGACTCTTATGAACAAGACTAAATTTTAACTTTAATTTTCAGTTATGTGACTAGTTGGGTAGAAACACGTAAAATTCCTTCCGAGAAGTCTAATTTGGTCATGCTCTTCGATAAATACATACCGGCCTCGTTAGAAACAATACGTGTACGTTTCAAAAAAATTACTCCAATCGCCGAAATGGCTCATATCCAGATGCTGTGCCATTTGCTAGATTGTCTCTTGACGCCGACCAATACGCCCGCTGATTGTCCCAAAGAATGGCATGAATTATATTTCGTGTTTGCTTGTATTTGGGCTTTTGGCTCGGCTATGTTTCAAGATCAAACCATTGACTATCGAATTGAATTTAGTAAATGGTGGGTGAATGAATTCAAAACAATAAAGTTTCCTCAGGGTTAGTAAAAAAAACTGAAAACTATTAGCAGATAGGATGGAAATAATTCTTCTCTTCTGTTTTAGGCGGTACTATTTTTGATTATTTCTTGGATACTGAAACCAAACAGTTTGTTCCATGGACCGAAAAAATACCAAAATTTGAGCTCGATGGTGATTTACCCTTACAGGCTGTATTGGTTCATACATCCGAATCCATACGCATACGATACTTTTTAGATTTGTTGATGGAAAAAAAGCATCCAGTAATGTTAGTGGGAACAGCTGGATCGGGTAAAACCGTATTAATTAACGAGAAATTGCAAGCGTTGTCCGAAAATTATGCTGTGACCGCGATACCTTTTAATTTTTATACAACTTCTGAAATGTTGCAAAAAATTCTAGAAAAACCTTTGGAAAAAAAAGCGGGTCGCAATTATGGACCTCCGGGAAATAAAACTTTAATTTATTTTATTGATGATATGAATATGCCCGAAGTAGATTGTTATGGAACTGTGCAGCCGCATACGATAATGCGTCAACATCTCGATTATGGTCACTGGTACGATCGAAATAAGCTTACGTTAAAAGATATACGCAACTGTCAATATGTGGCGTGCATGAACCCTACGGCTGGTAGTTTTACCGTAAATCCCCGATTGCAACGCCATTTCTGTGTATTGGCTGTTAGCTTTCCCGGGACCGACTCAATTACCAGCATATACTCTACAATTCTATCTCAGCATTTCTCTAATGCGGAACAAAAATTTAATCCGATTGTGACCCGTATGACGCCGAACATCGTAGCCGCTACATTAGCTTTGCATAACAAATGTTCGCAAGTGTTTCTCCCGACGGCAATCAAATCACATTATATATTTAATTTAAGAGACATTAGCAATGTATTTCAGGTAAATGGGCATCACAAGGAGAGCATGGAAGAGAGTTGAAGAAAGAAGAGAAAGACATGCAGACAGAAGAGAAAACATTTTATGAAAGACATTTGTTTTCTTTATTCTTTCAGGGTCTTCTTTTCAGCACAACAGATTGTTTGACGTCCTCGACCGATTTAATACGTCTGTGGCAACATGAAACTCAGCGTGTTTATTCGGACAAATTAATTGATGACAAGGATATCGATAGTTTTACAAAAATGCAACATGACATTGTAAAGAAATCCTTTGAGGAAATTGACGAATCGATTATATTTGACAAACCGAATATCTACTGTCATTTCGCAGGAGGAATTGGTGAACCCAAGTACATGCCTATTAAGGCCTGGACTGAGCTTCACAAACTCCTCCAGGAGGCAATGTCTTCCTACAATGATCTTGTTGCAGCCATGAATTTAGTTCTCTTTGAAGATGCTATGATGCATGTATGCAGGTCGGTTTTCCGTAATGACTAATCTCTATAAATTTTCCCAAACGCACTTTTTCATCCATTTTGGATAGAATTAATCGAGTATTGGAATCGCCACGTGGTAGTGCTTTACTAGTGGGAGTAGGTGGTAGTGGTAAGCAATCTTTATCTAGATTGGCTGCGTTTATTTCAAGTTTGGAAGTAGTACAAATACAACTTAAAAAAGGTTACGGCGTTGCTGATTTAAAGGTAAGCTGTATTCTTCTTTGATAATAAGGCGGTAGTGTTTCAGATAATTTTCCAATTAATATTAGAATGAATTCACTGGTTTGTATCTGAAGGCTGGCCTCAAAAATGTCGGCATTATGTTTCTGATGACCGACGCTCAAATACCAAGTGAGGATTTTCTTGTCCTAATCAACGATATGCTGTCTACCGGTGAGATTCCAGATCTATTCCCCGATGATGAAATCGAGAATATCATAGCAGGTGTACGCAACGAAGTCAAGGGTGCCGGTCTGGTCGATTCACGGGAAAATTGTTGGAAATTCTTTATAGACCGCGTCCGCAAACAGTTGAAAATAGTTTTGTGTTTCTCACCCGTGGGTTCAACATTACGTATTCGGGCAAGGAAATTCCCTGCCATTCTGAATGCAACATCAATAAATTGGTTTCACGAATGGCCGCAAGAGGCTCTAATTTCAGTAGCAATGAATTTCTTATCGCGCAGTAAAGTCCTTCCAGTAAATCACCATGATTCCGTAGCTAAATTTATGGCTTATGTGCACACTGCTGTCAATCAAACTTCTAAAGTTTATCTACAAAATGAACGGCGCTATAATTACACAACACCGAAGAGTTATTTAGAACAAATAAGTTTATATTTAAAGTTACTTAATCACAAACATGAAGACCTACAGAGTAAAATTGTACGTTTAGAGAATGGATTAGAAAAACTGCGATCGACAGCGGTACAAGTGGCCGATCTTAAAGTAAAATTGGCTGTGCAAGAGGTGGAGCTAAAGGAAAAAAACGAGGCGGCCGATACGTTAATTGAAATTGTGGGCGTCGAAACGGAAAAAGTGCAAACTGAAAAGGCTTTAGCGGATGAAGAGGAAATGAAAGTGGCTTTAATAGCTGACGAGGTATCAAAGAAGCAAAAGGATTGTGAAGAAGATTTGGTAAAAGCTGAGCCAGCTTTAATAGCAGCTCAAGAAGCTCTGAACACTTTGAATAAAGCTAATCTAACAGAATTAAAATCATTCGGTTCCCCTCCAGGTATAGTAACTAATGTTACTGCTGCGGTTATGGTACTTTTATCTCCAGGTGGTAAGTTACCTAAAGATCGCTCTTGGAAAGCGGCCAAAATAGCTATGGCCAAGGTGGATACATTTCTCGATTCTCTTATCAATTACGATAAAGAGAACATACACGCCGAAGTTATTAAAGCTATTGTACCATATTTAAAAGATCCCGAATTTGAACCAGAATTCGTACGAACTAAATCCGGAGCAGCAGCTGGTCTCTGCGCTTGGGTTATTAATATTATTAAATTTTACGAAGTTTATTGCGACGTAGAACCTAAGAGAAAGGCCTTAGCGGCTGCAAATGCCGAATTGGCTGCTGCTCAGGAAAAACTAGCCGGTATTAAAAGAAAAGTTGCGGTAAGTAATAACCACGTTAGAGATATATAATCGAAGTTTTGAGTTCTTTTGGCTCGTACATGCATAAGACAAGCAAGAGACGAAGATTTCGACTCGAACTCCCGATAGCTCATGAATCACATAACTGCCGTCCAAGGCGAAAAGGTTAAGAGAAATATTTTTTGTTTAGACTTTAGCTCGGCCGCGTAAAAAAAGTAAAAATCGTAGTTATTAAAACATAAAAACTTTCTCACCAAAAGAAGTTTAGATACAATTAAAACCATATTTTCTAGAGTTTAGAAGAACAGTTGGCTAAATTGACAGCCGATTTCGAAAAGGCTACCGCCGAGAAATTACGATGTCAACAGGAAGCTGACGCTACGCAAGCAACGATTGCTTTAGCTAATCGTTTGGTAGGGGGACTGGCCAGCGAAAATGTACGCTGGGCTGAAGCAGTTAACAAGTAATTTTTATTAACATTTTTGAAGAAGGTTTTATAATTCAGGCAACAATTTTTCCATTAAAGTTTCGTTAAACAGGGCATTACTTTACCAGGCGATACTCTACTCATAACGGCTTTTATTTCCTATACCGGTTGTTTCACAAAGCAATTTCGCATCGATTTATTGCAAAAGATGTGGACGCCTTTTCTAAAGAATTTGGATCCACCAATACCAACTACCGAGAATTTGGATCCTCTATCTCTTTTAACCGATGACACTACTGTAGCTATATGGACAAACGAGGGCTTACCGGCGGATCGAATGTCACTTGAAAATGCGACAATTTTGTCAAACTCCGATAGATGGCCCCTAATGATTGATCCTCAGGTTGCTTATTTGAAAAATAGGAAAAAAAACTTTCTTAACTAAAGCATTTTTTTCAGTTGCAAGGTGTAAAGTGGATTAAGCAAAAATATGGCGATGATTTAAAAGTCATACGTATGGGCCAACGTAGCTATTTGGATGTGATAGAGAAGGCTATCACCAAGGGCAATATAGTGCTAATTGAAAATATCGATGAACATTTAGATCCAGTGCTAGACTCTCTACTAGGTCGCAATCTGATCAAAAAAGGACAGTAAGTGTAATAACGTAGCCGAGTTTCTTTTTTTTTTGTTGCTGACATTTTTTTCAATTTCAACAAACAGAGCTATCAAAATCGGGGACAAAGAAATCGAATACAATGCTAGCTTCCGCTTAATTTTGCACACAAAACTCGCAAATCCTCACTATAAGCCCGAAATGCAAGCACAAACGACATTAATTAATTTTACTGTTACTCGCGATGGTTTGGAAGATCAACTCTTGGCTGAGGTTGTTAAAGCCGAGAGACCTGATTTAGAAGATCTTAAAGCCGAACTAACAAAACAACAAAATGATTTTAAGATTATGTTAAAGAAATTAGAAGACGATTTACTTTCCCGCCTTTCTTCGGCCGGAGAGAATATTTTAGGAGATACAGCTTTAGTAGAAAATCTGGAAACTACAAAAAGTACTGCTTCCGAAATCGAAGAAAAGGTAAAAAAAAAAACAAACTAAAAAACAAGTAAGAACATTATAGTCGGACGCTGCCGACAATTAAATGCCTTGCACCACTTCGCGTAATACAGTTATTCGCTCTTTTTCGTAATAATCAACTAAAAAGTATTCACTATTTTCATGAAAAGCCATAATTTTCATGAAAGCAGGTTAGATTTTCTCTCCATATAAGAATTTACGTTTTGGGAGTGCTAAAGACCTATGTGATCCAAATTCCGGTTATTTTTTTTTGCTGAAACATTTCCATGAATTATAATTATATCATCAGATATCTTACATGGAGCGGGGGAAGAAATAAACCCATGTGGTTCAAATTAACGTTTTTACTTAATTATTCTCATTCACCAAAGAAAAGTTTGAAATTAGGCTTTTTTGGCATATAAAGGTGTGCGTTTCATGAGAAGCCTTATATGCGGTGGTATGACAGAAATAGAACTTCGTGGATCAAACTTGATAAGGTAGATTTCTTTGTCAATTTACTATTATGAGCCAATTCTCACCATAAAATATCGAAAAGTCGAACTTGTTATCATACAAAGCTTTAGTTTCCCTAGAAGCGGTTTTATGAGAGAGGGTTTCAAAAATTACTCCAGCCGGTCAAAAGTTTACACACCAATTTAGAATGCTGATATACTACTACTTAGTCACTTTTACGGAGAAACCTTTTGAAATTTGCAATTTTTGTCGATGTAACGGCTTTTCAGAAGAAGGCGTTATATGGCGAGTGGTGGAAAAAGTCTACCGATCCGAACAACTTTTAATAGCTTTCTTGTACCAAATTTCACCAACATGAACATAACAACGCACCGACAGACATCAGGCGGACAGATAAGCTTACTTCGATTTAGAAAATGATTTGTAATCGATCGATGTAATAAAAGATGGCTATACTTTTAGCCCTTCTAGGTGTTACATACTTCCGCACTAACTTAGTATACCTCGTACTACAAGTGGTGAAGAATATAAATATAGAAAGTTTATGTTTGAAAGCGGGTTTTTCGTTTGTAAATTTTATAGGTAGCTGAGGCGAAAATTACTTCGAAGGAAATCGACAAGGCTAGAGAATTTTATAGGCCAGCCGCTGCTCGGGCTAGCCTTTTGTATTTTATACTAAACGAATTGAACACCATTAATCCGATTTATCAATTCTCGTTAAAGGTTTGATCAAGTCTTCTCGAAAGAAGCTCAGAAATATTCTAAAAATTATAAGTTTTTTCTGTTTAGGCTTTCAGTGTTGTATTTCAGAAAGCTATAGCAAAAGCAGAGCCCGGCGATAACTTGGAAATACGTGTAGCAAATCTAATTGATTGCATAACGTATTCCGTTTTCCAATACACTTCACGGGGGTTATTTGAATGCGATAAATTAATATTTGCCTCACAAATGACTTTTCAGGTAAGTGAATATCTCACGACAGCGTGAGTTTTTCATCCAAATAATTCTTGTGTACTTTTCCTTAAGATACTTTTGATGAATGAAGAGGTTACGTCGACAGAATTAGATTTCCTTTTGCGTTTTCCAATCAAGCCACACGTTACAAGTCCCGTGGATTTTCTTTCCAATTTATCGTGGGGTGGTATTTGCAGTTTGGCTTCGAAAGATGAATTTCGCAATTTGGATCGTGACATTGAAACGTCCTCTAAGAGATGGAAGAAATTAGTTGAATCCGAATTGCCTGAAAAGGAGAAATTTCCTCAAGAGTGGAAAAATAAAACAGCCCTACAACGTTTATGTATGATTAGAGCTCTAAGGCCAGATCGTATGACTTATGCTTTAGCGTATGTTTTGTTTTTCATTTAAATTGATTTCTTTACTAATTGCTTTAAATATTTCTAGAGATTTCATTGAGGAAAAATTGGGTTCGAAATATGTAGAAAATCGGGCGATGGAATTTTCAAAATCTTATGAAGAGGCATCACCTTCAACGCCCATATTTTTTATACTATCGCCTGGTGTTAATCCCTTGAAAGACGTTGAAGCTTTGGGCAAACAATTGGGATTCTCTATGGATTTGAATAATTTCCATAATGTCTCACTGGGTCAGGGACAAGAGGCCATAGCCGAAGGAGCCATGGACACGGCTGCCAAGAATGGCCATTGGGTTGTTTTACAAAATATACATTTGGTACGTAAATGGCTGCCGGTATTGGAAAAGAAACTTGAATATTATGCTGAAGGTTCTCATCCACATTATCGTATGTTTTTAAGCGCTGAACCGGCTTCAACGCCATCGGCTCATATCATACCCCAGGTGAGGGGCATGTATTCAAATAAAATTTTCTGATTTCTCATATTTCGAAAATCACTTTTAGGGCATTCTGGAATCGTCTATAAAAATTACTAATGAACCTCCGACTGGTATGTTAGCCAATCTGCACAAAGCCTTGGATAATTTCACGCAAGAAACTTTGGAAATGTCGGGTAAAGAAGCCGAATTTAAGGCCATACTATTTTCGTTATGCTATTTTCATGCTGTGGTAGCAGAAAGACGTAAATTCGGTCCTCAAGGTTGGAATAAAGTCTATCCATTCAACGTGGGTGATTTGAATATAAGTGTGTCGGTCTTATTTAATTATCTCGAGGCTAATGCCAAGGTACCTTGGGAAGATTTACGTTATCTATTCGGTGAAATAATGTATGGCGGTCATATAACGGATGATTGGGATCGTCGTTTATGTATCACGTATTTGGAAGAGTACATGCAACCCGATTTGGTCGATGGCGAACTATTTTTGGCGCCTGCATTTCCAGCTCCTCCCAACACCGATTACGCTGGATATCATACGTATGTCGATGAAAATATGCCAGCCGAGTCTCCTTATTTATATGGTTTACATCCGAACGCCGAAATTGGTTTTTTAACAACTAGAGCGGAAAACATATTTCGTACTGTCTTCGAGATGCAGCCACGCGATGCTGGGGCTAGTGGAGGGGCGACTGTGACTCGGGAAGATAAAGTCAAACAGATTGTTGATGAGATTTTAGAAAAACTTCCTGAAGAATTTAATATGGTCGAAATTATGAACAAGGTCGAAGAACGTACGCCTTATGTGATTGTGGCGTTTCAGGAGTGTGAACGCATGAATTATCTGACAAGCGAAATGAAGAGAAGTCTCAAAGAATTAGATTTAGGCTTGAAAGGCGAACTTACGATTACCAGTGATATGGAAATTTTGGAAAATTCCCTCTTTCTAGATCAAGTACCACCAGGATGGACACAACGCGCCTATCCATCGTTACTGGGCCTAAATTCATGGTTCATTGATTTGTGTTTACGTTTGCGTGAATTAGAAACATGGTCTACTGACTTTGTGGTAAGTGTTGCATAAGTAAAAAGTATAGATAAGGAAATAGTGTTCTTTGTTACACCTTCTGTTATAGTTGCCTTCCTGTGTTTGGTTGGCTGGTTTCTTCAATCCGCAATCTTTATTAACCGCAATAATGCAAAGTACGGCACGTCGTAATGAGTTACCGTTGGACAAAATGTGTCTACAATGTGATGTGACAAAAAAGCAAAAAGAAGACTTCACGTAAGTCCCATCTCACACAATCAAGTGTCATCATCACAAGAAAAAAGCATTTTTTAATTTAAATTATAGGTTTGCCTGTTTTTTATTTTATTTTTTGCTTTCAATATCGTTCAATAATTTAATTGACTTTTATTTGGCCTTTGGGTTTTGATATAAAACCACAGCCATAAGACATAAAGCTATTGCCACGGTAGGCCTTTCTTTCCATTCATTACTTTCGAGATATCGCAAATTGAAGAATAGCAAACATTTTCTAAGAGTTTGGGAACAAAAAAAAAAAAGAATAACAAAACCCGCAATCAACTCTTCGCAAATCAAAGGTTACAAAGGTTCTCGCCCTCTTGCTGATTTAATAGGAAAATGTTCGCTAAATCTCTTAAAATTTTCTCGTATTATCGTAGCAATTTGACCGTCACAGTTTCTGTCGCTTTAGGAGCACCCATCATATAATTTAAACCCAAAATTTCTGCTCCTTGTTGCAAGCCTTGTAATACGGATGTATTAAGTGTATGTAAATGTTTGCAACATCCGCTAGATTTTTACCGATCGAGTCAGTATCATTTTCTGAATCGAAGAATGTTTACTTGTCTGTCCGTTTAATGACTGACTGTTCACTTTTGCGGTCGCAGTTGTTGACATATTTTGATAACAGTTGGTACACTAGCATATCATAATGATGTCACGATGAGAATGAATGCTATTGAAAACACGTAAAAACATGATGTGGGGTCACAGTCCACCATTAAATGACATGCACCACTTGGCTTACTCATACATCTTATTATAGCTTACATATCGATTTTTCAAGATGCAACGTGGTATGGGAAGGAGTCAAATAAATGATCGATCCGTTCCGTCTTCAAGAGCATTCATCATTGGGTCAAAACATATCAAATGTTATCAAAATATGTCAAAAAAATCGGACTGTAGGGTGAACACAGGGATAAATGGGCAGACATCAAACGGACAGACTACAAGATAGGCTTAGATCAATACAAAAAGTGAATCTGATTCGACTGCGTTGTTTTAGTGTTGTATACATCTGCACAAATTTAATATATCCTCGTACCGCAAGTCCTGAAGAATGAAATAGTATTAGAATTTTACGCAGATTAGGCTTTTTATATTCTTTATGTGGATTCTAAAAGAGGTTCCTTGTTTTGCTTGCTAAAAAAGGAAAGATCAATTTTCTGAGCACCTATATCTCGGTTACTATGCCTTCTTACCATAAGTGGCATAGGATATAGTGAGTTGAATCTGGTTTATGATCTCGCGTATATATAGGAACCGAAAACTCGATCGAAAACTCGAGAGATTTGTGTTCCAATCTCTTCTCCGTTTAAGTGGAAGCTGTGCGAACAAGTTAAGAAGGTCGACATCGCTTATATGAGACATATAATGAATCTCGAATGTTAAATAAATATATTGCTTATGGCTTCAAGATTACAGACGTGTTAACAAATAAAACCAGTAATAAAGTTATATTGGTTTACAACCGAATCTTTTATATCCATCGCTGTTATGCTATAAAAAATGGCTGATTTTTGATATTCTTGTAGAATAATCTTGAGAAAATTTATATTGTGTATTTCCTGTAGTTCATGACCTACGAGCGAAAGACACAGAAAGAAAATGTGTTCTGAGTTTTAGTCATATAGACCTTTGCGCGTTGTAGGTATGTTCTTTGAACTTTGAATCGATCGGCATAATAAACTTTGGGACCATCTTAAACTCTTCGTTCATGTTACATACATCAGCGCAAACTTAATATGACCTTAATATACCCTGTAATGCGAATGGTGTAAGATATGAGAAGAAGTTCTTTGAGAAAAAATTAGCACAAGTAAATCTGAAGCATGTTGACTCGTTCCCGTGCAGTCGTTTCCATGAAAAATCAAACTCATTTTTAATACAAAATGGTGATTATATCATATGAACGCGATGCAGGGTACACAAAGCTCGACCTATCTCGGCTAAAACGTTCATTTTTACTCATTTCATTTTTATCCGCAAAAATTAATGCATACTACGCACTGCTTATAAAAATTCAGTATTTGGCATTTGAACATAGAGCCCGTACGATTACTCTGTACATCTCTTTCCGTTTCCTCACTGCTTTCCTACCGTCGTCGTGTTATGCACCTAGTGGACATCGCACGGGGGATTGTTTACATTAAAAAAAAGGGGTCTTTACGGCCAGTTTCTGCTTTAGATGTAGGGTATAACAAAAATTTTACATTGCGGCGAAATTTTCAAATCACACAAGCTTCAATTATATACTTTGAAGTCGAAAGACAAAGTCCATAAAATATAAATCCCGTTGCCTTGATTTCGAAATTTGAACAAAACTTCGCAAAGATTGCGACGTGCACACAAATACATGGACAGATATCAGGCGAATAGACGGACAATAAAGCTTAGATTGATTTAGAAAATGATTTTGAACTGCTCGATATAATAAAAAATGGACCTATCTTAAGTCCTTTTGGATGTTACATGTGCGTGTACAAAATTAATAAGCTCCGTACCGCAATTGCTGTCGGGTATAACAAAAACTGCATATTCATTTCCAAAAAAGGCAAACAGGCGTGCGGATGAGAAAATAATGCCATATTGGGAAAGATGGGCTGGAAAGGGCCAAACAATTCCATTGCAGAATTGTTAAAATTCAAAATTCTTTGCATCCTAAGAACGGGCATAAGCTTAATAATTGTAATAACAAAAACCAGAAATATTTAATTCAGAAGAAAATATATTTTTCGGTGTTTGATATGAAAATATCTACAACAGGTGTTGGCGTACGGTTATAATAGATTTAGTAATCGGAGAGAGAATGTGAGAAAACATTGCAACAAACATTAATAATCAATGTTTTTCTACGGGCGATAATGGCGACTTGTCGATATAATTGTAAGCGTCATCGTTTAGCCCAAAGTGGCACCATAAATTAACTCACATCAATAATTGATCATGAGATCGTTGTCACGCCGTTTGGCTATTGATTTATGTATAATATGTGTACATATGTGTATGCATGTACATGTATGAATGCCCATGCATGCATTTGTTGTTTGTTTGCTTGTTTCAACTTAAAAGATTTATTTTATTATTAATTGCTTTGGGTGTTTAACGTTTTATTCAATAGACAATTATTTGCTGAACTGTTTTTTGTTTGAATTTCATTTAAATATTTGATTATTTATTTATTAATATATGTGTCTAGTACCGCACCAAGAGAAGGCGCCTACGTTCATGGAATATTTATGGAAGGCGCCAGATGGGATTTACAACAAGGTATTATTATGGAATCGCGTCTCAAAGAACTCTATCCATCAATGCCTGTCATCAATATTCGGGTAAGTAAACTAATGATTGTTAGCGATTGAGAAATCGCTGCATTATCGCATGATCGTACATCGCCGCAAAACTTGTATATATATTTTTCTCGTTTTTTTTTGCTTTTTATACCCTACAGTACTTGTGGTGATACAAGGGTACATTATGTTTATTTGGATATATGCGATATCCGATTGTCTGTCTGTCTATCTGCCCGATATCTGTTCATTTTTGAGATATTTTGATGAAATTTGGACGTATTTGGGCCCTAATGAAAACTGAAACTTAATCAATTGACCGTATCCTTCACTACTAGGTATATTAAGGACCCTCCTTATATTATACCGAGCGCCATTGAGACCCACCTTTTGTTATATCGAGCGATATATAAGCTGCTCTGTCTGTCTGTCCTTTTTGTATTGTTGTGTTCAGTCCACCTAATCGGAATTTTTGATATATTTTGATGAGATACGGTACTTCGACTTGTTCTGACTGAAGGGCAAATGCTACTGAAAATGGTTCGGATCGCACCACTTTCTATACAATACCTTCTTTTAAAAAATTTGTTTTATGAATAACTGTATCAAACGAGCAAACAAGTGATGTAGGATATTTAATGGTGGACTTTGTCCGATTATAAAGTTTTCATTTGTTTTTTTTTTTTTTTATATAAAACTAATGGGAAAGATTTGTTTACCTTTATTTCAGGCCATAACACAAGATAAACAGGATTTACGTAATATGTACGAATGTCCTGTTTATAAGACACGTACTAGAGGTCCAACGTATGTGTGGACTTTCAATTTGAAAACCAAAGATAAACCTGGCAAATGGACATTGGCCGGAGTGGCTTTATTATTACAAACATAAATGTAAATTAAGGAAAATTTTTTCAAAACTTTTTTGCGCTTCGCTTGTAGCTAATTAGAAATTTCAGAAAAATAAACGCATTGTTCCGGTAGTTGTTGTTACTACTAGAAAATCCGCTTTTGGTTAAATTCTTTACATTATTGCTGACTTTTTGCAACAACCATTTTTGTATGGTGGACAAGAGGAGGCGGAGAAGAGTGTTTGAAAAATTAACTTTTTTGGTGGCTGCATAAATATGGGCCGCCAGCAGTGTGTATGTGGCACGATGGTGGTGAGAAAGGAAGCAGAGGTAGCAGTACGTTGAACTTAGCAGTGGGCAAATATCGAAATGCCAGAAAGTCTACTGCGTGGAGATCATTCCACAGTAAGGCGTCACGGTTAAGGGCAGGTTGTGAAGCTCAAAGCCCAAAGTTGCAACTTGGATTACTTCCACACTTTAGAGTAAGACAATAGTACGTTCTTCTAACTGTTGTAGGATGTACTATTGAATAAAACCACGATTTCACAAGAATGGCTGGATCTCGTTTGAAGACAGGAAGCAGGAGATTTTGAATGAGATCTAAAGATTGGCTAACAACGCTGGTTAGAAGAGGGTAGATGACAGCAATAACCTACGAAGTTGAGCGTCCAGTTTTCCTTCTTCTTGCTAAGTAATTCCACTGACACACCCACTATTAACATAATAATTGTCATATTTTAAATAAAAGTATGAAATCATGAATAAAAAAAGCAGAGTAATTTCTTTTTTTTTAAATACAAGCCATACATCAATTGCGCATAAACCATGCAATATAAGATCGTCACTCGTTACAAATATTTGATAAGTAATATGCGTATGAAATATTTGAATGTTTTAATTATATGTAAAATAAAGGCCTGACTCGAGAGAGTAATAAAACGACTTTGCACTCTCCTCATAATGTCGCAAAAATTATCGCATAATCATATTTTAGGTACACTAAAAAGTTCGTGGCGTCTTTGTTTTTCGTAGCCAGTTTTTGAATCGCTCAACTCTATCAAGCCGCACTAAAGCGTATTTAAAATGCCACAGGAAAAAGGAAAAAACATTCTGAAAGATTCTGAAGAAATATACTACACTTTAAAATATCACTTCGAGCAATGCAATAGCGCTTCATGAGCTTGTAAAAAAATTCATACCCATGTAGAAGGAAGATGTTTTCTAAAATTCAGCAGCATGTAAATAGTTTGCCCTTTCTTTCTTTGCATGCTAGGATGTCAAAAACGGATCTCTTACAAAATATTAAGAAAGAACGACACATGCTTTGAGATACTGAACCATTTGCCTGTGGGCTAGAAACGAAAAGTAATTCGTTATCAGTCAACAGTGACTTTCCATCTATGAGTCGCTGCTGAAACGAAACGTATTCGAGCTATTTTTGAAGAGATTGACGCTAAAGATGACCCACATGCGATGATATTGTGCGAAAAATTGCGTTGTCCAAAGAAGAAATGATTTTCCTTTAACGGAACTGAACGAGAATCGAGAATCATGAGCTACTTGGAACCTGGTGGGACGATTGATTACACTTTGTACTATCAATAACTAACGCAATTAAAGCGTCCGCTTTCTCTTCCCAACGACAACGCTGCTTAAAGCTCCCGTTTTTCAAAGGAAATGCAATTAAAGCATCCACTTTCTACTGGCTACAGCAAAGGGGGCTCAAGCCTCCAATTTTTACAGCAACCGTGATTAAAGCGACCATTTTCCATAGCCAGCAAAAAAAGCGGATAAAGTGCCTCCTCTTTATTGTTAACAAGGAACGCAGTTACAGCGCGCACTTTCTAGAAGAAACGCGATTAAATCTCTACTGTCTTCCACAGTGACGAGGTTGAAGCGTTTCTTCTACCACAACAGTTCTCGGCCATGTAAGCATATAACACATTGACTGCCACGTCACACGATTTCAAGTGACAGTAAAGATCTCTTACATCAGGCCGCGTCATCCGAATTCGAATAACTTTTAGATACTTTTTAGCTATTAAGAAAAGATACGTTCAACTAAATGCATTAGGTGAAACATTTCGTTGTAAACGAGCTTATCTTTTGCTACGATAAGAAACAAAATAAGTACAAAAGTATATAACCTGCGGTGGTACTTAAACATTTCTCTCCACACATAATAGTCTTTTACTGCGATAAGTAACTATTGACACAATATCTTTATGCAGGAACATTGCGGAATAGCGGGGTATGGCAATGCACGAGGCCCGAGAGACAGAGATTTTCTTGATAACATGGTGGGCAGTCAACATGTTAATAAGTCGGCTGGTTGAGAAGTTTTCATACATCCACCAGATAGTCGGCCATAACCTTGTGCTATCCAACCACCGAGATTTGCTTCGCCGTTCCGCAGACCCCTTGGAAGGTGATGTCAAAAGATAACAATGATATCTCAGAAGCCACGTAATGGCTTTTTCAGGAAGAATGTCAAAAGGTTATCAATCAAGATGACATACATTTGGTTTAGTGAACTAAATTCAAAATATAAGAATTGCTACAAACTTTTTCTTCGTCGGTTATATAAGAGAATGTATTCAATTGCGAATGACGACATATATCGCTAATGCTTGTAATATATATCTACATAAGTATGTATGTACTCTTTATATGCATATATATGTGTCACATCCATAAGCCTATGACAATAAACTCAATAGATTATAACTATTGGACAAGCGGGAGAGGAAACTCATAGGCTCACGCGATCATTATGATAGCTTATATAGTTAGTTGGACTTCAATATTGCTTGCACTCTGCAAACATATTATCTCATTATGTAAAGTAAAACATAAACAAAACATTCATTTGCATGTAAAAAAAGAACACACAATAAAGCTGTTACGCAGAAGAAAAGAAATCAGTTTTACTTAAAGAAAAAAAAAATCAAACAAGAAATTCTGTTCTTCTTTCAAATGCAATTGATAATAAAGAGTGAAACCCGAACACGATTAGCAGGAAAACGTGATCAGTTTTTCTAACAATAAACAAGTGCTTGCCAC